TTCTTTCAATTTCTCAAAATTGCTGGAAGGCATCCACAGTTACAGTTACATAGGTTTTGAACCAAAATATAGCCAAGTTTGGTGACTTTTGATGATAAAAATTCACCACCAAAATCATACCAGCTTGCCGCCATTTAGTGTTAAATGGATGCCCCGGTAACCTTATTTTTCTGCGAATCTTTGCATCCTTGAAGCCTCTCATGTTACATTATACAGGGGATACTACAATTTATAGATAATATATGTATCTTTAATTATTTATATATTTTATTGAAATTACTAAAATTATTATTAAAATTATTTTTATACACACAAAATTTGTAACAGTATTCAGCATGTGATTATGGTACACACTCACTGTATATCTCCTTTGCAAATGAAATGAATGTCTGTGTTTTGTTATTCTTTATTTTCATTTCCTTCAATATTTTCCAAATTTACAAGAACTAATTATTGTGATTTCAAGAGATTATAGGAATAATTCCAATTGCCTTGGAATCAATATTAAATTTAAGGTTTTAGGACCTGTAGAGGAACAAGTTGTTTTAAAAGCTGAAATTTCTAAAATGTTTCCAGAAAGTACTGTATTTATAACTAAAAATAAGGATGCAACAGGTGCGTGAGAGCACCCTGGGTGATGACTTGAAGGTCTCCCACCTCTTCTTCCCTACCACCAACCACACAAGAGTACTTCCAGCTTGCTGTGTATTTAAAATGCTCACATGCTGCATAAGACACCGCGCACTCGCAAAACATCCACTCTTTCTCTGACTCTGAACCCCTGGCCCATCAGTACGAAAGTCGGCATCAATAACCACTCTAGCCAAATAAATAACAAGGATGCGAAAGCGGAAATTAGAAAGTTGCAGCATTAATTAAAAATTTTTAAAATGTGAAAATTACAGTGGTTAATAAAGGTAAATGTATAATGAGTATACTTCAAAAACATGCCAGTAGGTGAGTATGATTTAATTATAAAAGTGCAGACATTTGCTGAAAGTGTTTGCAGTTTGGTATTATATTCAAAATTCCAGAATTTTAAATAATAAACTCATGTCCATAAATTAAGGATAATGCAAAATCAGGCAAAGGAAGAGTTAGAAGCAAAACAAATTTGACTTATTTGTAAAGCTTATTTATTAAACAAAAGGTAAAGAGCAAAAAAAGATGCTATATGTTTGATATTATTAAAAAATTAGCGATTTTTTCTCCTGGAGCAAATTACAAAAAAAAAAAACCTATTTACAAAAAACCAATATTACATGGTTGGTATGATTGTTAATACATTGTATGTCTCCCAGACGATGCAATACAGTCCGTACAACGCCTAGGCATGCTGAGTATCAATTATTATCGATCTGATCTTGGGGATATTACACCACTCAAAAGCCCAATGCTCTCCGAAGTTCCGGTAGACATGTAGGAGGAGGTTGACGGGCTGCAACTCGTCGGCCAAGCATGTCCCACACGTGCTCTACTGGATTCAAGTCCGGTGAGAATGCTGGCCAGTCCATACGGGTGATATCCTCCGATTGAAGGCATTCGCTTACGATGTTTGCACGGTGAGGACGGGCGTTGTCATCCATAAACACAAATTGTGCGCCCATGGCGCCCGAAACAAACGTACATGTTTGTTCCAGAATGACGTCCCGATAGATTTGGCTTGTCATGGTTCCAATTTGAACATGCAGGTCAGTTCTGGAACCCAGAATAAATCCACCCCAAACGAACACTCCTGCACCACTGTAATGGTGTCATTCAATGACATTTTCTTGGTGGTAACGGGTACCTGGAGCTTTCCATATGAAAGTCCAGTGAGAATCAGACTGCAAGCTGGCGGTGACCTGTGCTGTAATGTCTACTTGCATTACCATCATCTTGTTATCGTTGCCAAAGCCTGGAGATGACACTCTGGGCAATTCCAAGTTCGTCTTATACTTCCAGTTGGCTTCATTCTATTGTGATAAAATTTTTTTTTTTAATTTTATAAAATTTCACTAGTAAATTTAAACAGAATTAAAGAAGCCATTTACTGTTACAAATGAAATATTTAATGTTGTATATAAGCATGACTGTTTATAACCAAACAGATCATTTTGCAGTGCAGGGAAAACCTTTTAGAAGTAAATGTTTGTACTTCTGACTGCCAGCATGTTAAGAACTGAAGCTTCCTTTTCTTGTACCAGCAATATTGAACATAAGTGTAATTGTTTATTGCTGGTGTGTTGTGCAAAGTGCAATTTTACCAGCTCAGATGAAATTTGAGCCTTTCGGCACTTAATGATGAATGTCTCCTAATTCGTAGAAACGAAAGCTTGAACAGATAGAGGAAGACCATCAAAACATCCTTTTTTTGTAACTCTCTGAAAGGCACACTTTTTGGATTTGTTTATATAGAGCTGACAGCATTTGTTAGTAACATTTGTAAAATTGCTTTTGTAACTGTTTGCTTTCATAAACTTTATTAAGAAGATATTTAGATTATTAACAAAAATTAGAAATCAAAATATTTTACATGATGAAATGATACATAGCAAGTGGCACTGAATTTCAGAACTGGATAAAGGCACTTAATCAAATTGGAGAGTTGAAAGTGCTAAGTCACATAAGCAAGTGTGAAAGCATGGATCAAAAGTGTTATCACTTAAGAATAGATGTAAAATTTGTACAAAAGTATGACATCAATGAAAACTGCAGTGCACATCTTTGAGATATTGCAAAAATTTAAGAAACTTTTCCCCTACAAATGTTACTTCAATTAGATCAAGGTGTAATCCAGAGCTTTAAAAGAGTTTTTTTAGAAAAAAGAGTGATGAGTAAAATTTGAATAGATTAGAAACTAAACTGTGTTATAATATAAATATATTTCTTACCCTGTAGTAATATCTGTGTGGGATTGAGTTTCCATATGAAAAGTTTGTAATCTTGTGGAGGATTTGTCAATAATCGGATCGGTACTATATGTTCTCATGTAATGTCAGAACATTTTAACTTCAGTACATATTTCCAGATAAGGACATTTCACTGGACATTCAATTTCAAAGTTTGGTAACTTGCACATCTTTTGTTATTCTCCCATGCAGAGTCGATGATAATGCTTGAAGAATAAACATGTTAAAAAAAAGTAAGTATCTATGTGGTTTTATATAGGGTTTTAAATGCTATATCTAACCTGGGCCAATTTTACAACTAAGTTATTCCCTAGGTATGCGCTAAGACTGGAGCTGCATTTCTTTTCCACAAAGAAAAGACAAAATTCATTGGTTCATTTTAAAGTGTAGTTAAATATTGTTTACGTCAATATTAATGTTATTTAAGAAATGTGAATAAATTTACAGTGAAACTTATTATAGTGGTTTTTTTCTGTGTCAAGTATTTATGAAAAATACGAAAATGATGGTATTAAACATTTGCATTAATCACGCTCTTTATAGCAACCTCTTGAACAGAACGCAGAAACCTTTTGGAATCTTGGGTAACTGTCTTAGGGAGGCTTCATTGCATGTACTCTTTAGTCACTGCATTGGATAGACTGAATTTTAATCTAGAGACATCTGCTACATGGGAGTATCTGAGCCATCTGATACATGGGATGCTTTACATCAGCCCCATGTAAAGCAAATTTAAATGTCCTACATCCTTATCTAAGTAGCTTTTAATTTTTTTTTCTTCTTTAAAATGGGCAGGAAATATATACACTGAGCATCAATTTTTCAACAATTTTTTGTGTACTTATGCCATCACAAAAGTGCGCACTCAAGTTCTGTTTTACTGTACGTGCAATGACAGTTCTTGTTTTCCAATCACTTATGCTTTTTTGAATTATCAGCTGTACTTATATTTAAAAAAATAAATGCCTTTTCCTGTTTTGTCATTGTATGGTATATTTCTTTGTCTTTGAGACATTCATTTCATTAAAACCTTTTCAGTTGGCGTGTTGACACTTTATCGTGCTGAGAATAACTACAGAATTTATGTTGTTTGCAAGAGGTTTGTAATGTCTTCACATATATTCTTATATTTACACAATGATTCTACACAATGGTTTTTTTTTCTTAAAAAAAGTACTGGAGTTTACTTGGCTAAATAAGTCTTCTACTATATTCCTCCCAAGATGAAAATTAAGTGAATATGTAAGAAAATTTGACCTTTGAGGATTATCTGACAATTAGTGAAAGTAAAACATGTGGAGAATTTGTCTGAATATGATTTAATTATTAAGTCACTATATTCTTAACAGACCATTGCAGACTATTCTCTTGGTAAAGGTATAGAAAAGTTGACGTATATCAGTGAAAGATATAGCAAATTTAACTCATAGTTGCAAAAAGGAAATGTAAGCATATATTTTACATTAATGAATACTCCAGACACTGCAGTAAAATCAACGTTCCATATGTCACTTTTAATTACTTAGTGATTTTATAAAAAAAAAAAAATAAATAAATAAAATTTGCTTATGTAAATTATAAATAATTGTTTTGAACTCCTTATCTTTCATAGATTTTATCAAATTAAGGTAAAGAAAAAGCGGGGCAGTTTTAAGTAACAAAATTTAAAGATTCATTTTAAATTGCTCTTTATGCTTGTAGTTTAAAATTATTCCGGGGCTGACAACATTAAGAAGGGCAATTTTGGACATCGTTTCAGTAGCCTAAGGTTTATGCAGGAATGTGGCTGAGAAAGGGCTTTGAATGCGCCATCCAGGCACCAGTTATAGTTTTTTTTCAATAATGGGGCTAATTGGAACTTTGACTAACTCCAATAGTAATACTCATCATACCTTCTATAATTCTGCCCGAGCAGCCAACCTATAAAGCTGGTATTTACAGCAACATAGATTTAATGTACAATTACATAGAATTTCAGTGATTAATAATTAATTTATTAATTATTTTTATAAAAATGTTTCTGACAAACTTTTACAGCACTTTAGAGGTCTGAATCTGCCGTTTCACCTGCAAATTTGATGAATTAAAAACTTTATATTTTATTTATAGCTTGGAGTGATGCCAGACCTATTCCAGTTTTTCCGTGGCATTCTTTAGTTCCCTTTCTTACAACGAATTCCTCATCAAATTCCACCCCAGATGTTCCAGTTGCATCAGAGACTTCTACAAAAGATACAGGTTTCAGTCATATTTGTGTTACTAATTTCAGTTTGTAAATAGCATACTGTTACCTATCTTTTAATTTTTTTACTAAGAAATTTGAAAATAATCCCTTTTTTTTAAATTGTTTGTCCTTATTTTTCTTTTTATGTATCATTTTGTTGTATTTTTCATAAGGAGTATAAAACTTTCCCAAATATAAGTAGTGTAGGAACCAGCATTAAAAGTTAGATCTCATTTATTTGTCCAAAATTAAGTTTTTTTAAAAAATTGATATTCCCCAAACATAAATACAGAGGCTGTTTGCAGGTTTTTTAGAGGATTTTCATTGTGTTTAAAGAACTATTTTCCTAAATTTTTTCTGTTTTAAATGTTCTATTTGATAACCTTTATTCTTTACTGTCTTTCTACACAGTAATTTCCAACATAATAAAGCCTTTTGTAGTATTGAAAGAGGTATTTTATAGCATTCCTCTCGAACAGCATTCCAAAGTCCAAGGAGTAGTCCAAGTCCAAGTCGAAGGTCGACATTCGGAAAATCTGCTTTTTATAATTTCAAAAGCGCAAAAATCCATAGGGGGATACATTAGAAGATTTAGTAGGGATGTGAGTGAAGGGTATGGGGGTTGATACCCATTTTTTGTTCCTTTTTTTTTTTCAGGAAATTAACGGTGACTTTCGACGTGTGGCTGCTTGCCTCCTCTTGATTCAGTTATACTGATTGATGCTACTCTGGTAGGTATTTCATATTTGAAAATATGTTTTAAAATATGTTCCTGAAAATATGTGGAGTTGATATTAACATTTTTCTCGGCTCACTTTATTTTTAATTTGCCATTATATAAAAAACCAGCAACAATCATAAATCCCTTTGAAAAACTTACTTTAGATTCTTAGAACTATGATTTAAGATTTTTTTCCTTCCTCTTTGAAGATAATAAATGGATCCCTTTTTTGGAATCATTTAAATACAAATAAATGTTTCTCATAAAGAATTCTGCAGTGCATTCTGCGTTCGACGACATGTCATAGAAAAAGACGATGCATATTATTGTTTTTTTAATTTTTTTTAAGATTTAAATTAACCCCAGTCACTTTTTTTATAGTTGATACTGAGCATTTTAATGAATTTGCAATTGTACTTTGAGTTGACGGATTTTCTTTTTAACACTAAGGATTCACTACCTTTGCAACATTAAAAAATTCCGTTTTTCCCTTGGATATGTGTTTGGAACAAATTTTCTACTTGAAGCCATTTTTCCTTATTGACAATATTATATATCTTAGCTTTAGATATAAAAGAATCGTGGCTTTTACAACATTTTTTAATAACTAGATATAAATAATTTTCTTTGGGAAAAACACAAACATAACCTTCCATCTATTGTTTCTTTAAAAGTGCTGTTTTGCATGAAAACAAACTGTAAAGTAGCAGACAATAATTTACCCTTTCAAAAATACAGTTGCAGTTAAAACAAAAATTTTCAAGTAAATGACATTTTTTATAGCAAATTAAAATCATCTAAAAATGTGTGAACAGCCTCTGTGTTTTTATCATTTAAAACATATCTGTGTTTAGAAAAATATAACTATGACTAAGGATTACAAAAATGAAAGGCGGGTAAGGGGGTAGTTATGTGTATGTATATACTGTATAAATACTTGTGGTATTGCTGATTGCAATAAAAAAGCAAGGTGCACAATTTTGTATATGGGACTGCTGTAACATCTGGATATTTCTTTATTCTGTCTGTACATGCAGACGTCATCAAAAATCATCCATGTGAATTGGAAACATTTAAAATGGATAGTTCTGTGGACGTTATGCTCAGTCAATACATGAGATAATTTAGTGACGTAAAGGATAATTCCATAATGGATTAAGCATATTTTAATTCACAATAATAAAAGAAGATGTTAGGGTTATAACATTAAAACAAACTTGTTTTTTATTTACATTTTTCTGTTGCCGATCTAGAGAAACTAAACTTCGCAACAACAAAAATAATATTATACATAGATGGAGCTGCTACTGTTCTGTTGTAGTAGGATATCTAAGCTTTTTTTGCAATTACAATAATTCCCGTACTTTGTACAAGTAAGTAAAAAGTCATGAAAACCACCAACTTGCACCCAATAAGTAACTTTTTTCATATGTAAGAAATCACAAGATTGCACCAAAGTGCTTCTGTTAATATGTAAATACCTAAAAATGTACAAAAGAAAATAGCGTAAAAAAAGTTCTGTGCAAATTGGGGGGGGGGAGAGTTCTAACCGCTAAACTCTTGCATATTAATTAAGCATTGGTTGCAACTGGCTGAAACTCTAGGTCATTTAGCCCAAGCCCAACAATATGGCAACTGGTACCATAGACCACCAGTAATTCCTCAATAATAAACACAATAGGCATAGAAATTTTATTCTTGATATGAAATTCCATTGTTTGAAAATAACAAATAATTTATTATTTTCACATAATGTAACCTACCAGTCACTTTAATAATTATAATCATCATGTTGTTTTTCAGTGATCCTGTTTATATAATGTTCCACTGTGAAACATCTTTCGAAACTAATTTGTCTATATTTTACAAAATTTTAGAACTAGTACTTAATATTTAGTAAGTGAAAGGGTTAAAGATTGTTCTGTCACTTATTTCACCGAGAAGAAAATAAACTAATTGCATTCAATTAAAAAACCATGGTGCAGAAGGAATAATTTTTTATGATATGAAAAAAAAAGGAAAGCATTTAAATCTCCCTTCTTCAAATTAAAACTTGTTATGAACTGATAGCACCCACTGGCTGGCAAGTGATTCAATTAATTGACGTTAGCAGTGAAAGAACAAAGGTATTTAGCCTAATAATTCTGAAGGTGCATGCCTAATAATTATGGTTGTAAAGCACTGTAGTATATGTAAATAAAATTTTGTGTGTGCTGATAACAAGTGGAATCATCACGTTCATACTCAAACAGAAATCTAACGAATGGTGATGTAATTACCACAGCACTGAAACAAATCTAATATGGCTATCTATTAAAATGTGTAATAATCTTGAAAAGTTTGGTCTCAGTTAAGCCATTTGTTTATTATCAAAGAATATGGAGAGATTTAATCCAATGAAAGAAATTATGTGCCTTTTTGGGACATCCTTAAAAGAAAAGAGACGAGGAAGAAGGGAAACCCCAAAACAAGCAGGAAAAATTTTAAACATAAATAAGTCAGTATTTCTATAGCTGGGGTAGAGGATATCTATAGTAATTTATTAGGAGAAATCATGTTTTTAATTAATGATATTTATTTTTTAGCTCCTCCAGAACCAGAAGAAGGTGATGATGATGTGTTTGTTACCAGTGACAATCTTCCTTTAGATGTTCAAGAATTAGCGGACAAGCGTCGAACTCAGTCCTTGAGTGCATTACCAAAAGATGAATTAAAAAGCCCCAAAAAGGTGGAAATGAAAATATTACATATTAAATTTAATACATCTATTGCATTTATAAAAATCTTTTAGCAAAGGAATTACTTTTTAATAAATATTATGTTTCTTTAGCCTGCAAGTCGGGAAAAAGATCACATCAGACGTCCCATGAATGCTTTTATGATATTTAGCAAGAGACATCGGTCCCTTGTTCACCAGAGACACCCAAATCAAGATAATAGAACCGTAAGCAAAATTTTAGGTGAATGGTGGTATGCACTTGAACCAGAGAGGAAGCAGAAGTATCATGATTTAGCTTATGAGGTTTGTTTATTTAGCTTTTAGTATATTTTACTACATGTTTATGCATGCTAATATTTTGCATGCAACAACAACTGTTATTTGTAATTTTTTCTGTTATTTGAGAGCTAATGTTCCTGTTTTTGCATTTAATTTTCTTGTTATATATCAAGCATTGAACCTGTGGACTATTTCTTATTACTTAAGTGTTTAATCATGCTGTTAATTGAGCCAGGTAATATGCTTCATTTGTTGGAAGATTAAAAAAAAGGGGGGCGTCTAATGTTGCCAGTGCATGGCCTTCTGCCAATTGTATATTTTAATTAGCAATGAGCTTTTAGTAAAGTATAACTACTGGTTGAACATTTGCAAATTTGTTGTTCTACCAGGTGTAAAAACTATATTATCTAAATTTGTACCAGCATAATCAAATGTCTGCAGCTTTTTATTAAAAATTATATTTTATTAAGAGTTAATAACATATAATTTAATTGGGTTTTAATTATGAAAATTGTATATGATATATTTAAAATAATAACTTTGAAGCAAATACTGTACTTCAGTTTTCTTCTATGTTATTCCTATAGTATTAACAAATCTAAATTCATTTTGATCAGCACGTATTAGATATCAGTAAATAATGCTTGTTAGGTTTTGGAATTAAAATTAAATTGTAATATATTTTTTCATGAACGTCTCTTCATAGCCTTAAGTCAAGAATCACTTCCGATTTATCAACTTTAGCCAAAATCTAATATATTGTCCTGATTGATAAATATTAAAATTTAAAAGGTTTGGATTATAGTTTAGTATAGTTTTTCATTCATTAAATTCCTATAGGTTTTGATTAAGGAAACACTTCTGGTTGGGCACTTTTACTTCATATCTAATCAATACTATATATGAACACAGAAAGCTTAAATATGGAAAATAGAAATTTTTGAAAATTTAATATAACAGTTATCATGAGCGGAAAAATTATCACACGTGGACAGATAGGCATACATCATGATAAAAATAGTAAAAATTTGTTGTGGGCACCCTAATTTGTTTTTATTCACTGGAAACTCTCAAATTTGTGGATCGAAAACATAATCTTCTTTGCGTATGTATGTAAGTTGGTGAGAGGTAAAAATAATGAACAAATAATTATTGTATTTATCAGAAATATTAATTTCCATCACTAGAAAAGATTCAAGAAAAATTATTGAACTATTTTTTGTGTAAGTAATGTAATCACTATATGGTATATCTGTTTTATTTTGTGTTGTTTTGAAAACAGGGTATACATTGCAAATATCATATAATTTTCTGCTGAATCTTTAATACTGCTAGTGTAGAGTCACAGTAAATATTTCATTTGTGTTTTGCATGTGTTTCGGCAGTTGTAAATTTTTGCAATCTGGTTGTCTTTTTAATAACTAGCAATGCAAATTTGCATTTCAGATATTATTAATTAAAGGTTTATTACTTTTGACAGGTAAAAGAGGCTCATTTTAAAGCATATCCCAATTGGAAATGGTGTAGCCGGGATAGAAAAAAATCCAGTACCAGCTCTGCACCTCGAGACAATCAGAAGCCGTCTGGGACTGATGAATCTATGATCCCATCTCTGCCATTAGGTAATTTCCATAAATACATTGAATTTTATTCCAAAAGTTAGGAATTTGAAAGCCTATAGTACTTACCTTGTAGGTCTTACTAGGTATAGTTAAACATGTCTTCATGAATAAACAAAATGTTATTTTAAGATAGTGTAATATCTCTGTCTCTTGTGTATTTATAGGTTTTGATTTAATGTTAATAGGATCAGCATTTACTTGTAGGAAGTTGTATTCTTGTGTTTATCAATAAATTTAAATTGTGATTATTATGAGATAAAAATCTACTATTAAGTATTTTCTAAATTAGAAGCAGTGGACTGAAATTAGATACTAATTTATGCGCATTGGAAGTGAATGTGCAGTTTAATTCAGTCATAGTTTTAGATTAAGTAGCAGTATGCTTGAAATCAGTAAAAGTGAGCCTCCTTTTTATTATTCTTATTTTACTGTTTTCTAAATGGGAAATTGTTGACACATTATTTTTATAAATTATAAATGCTCTTTATGAAAATTTCTTTTTATACTGTATATGGAAGAGTTTCTGTTCTGTGGCCCCCCCTTTTTTTAAATTCCCCTTCTTCTGTTTAAGACAATTTGAATAACGTTATTTAATTTTTCTTGACAGCTGATAAAGTTTCCGATGATTTGTTACTAAACTTTAATGTTTCTGCTGCTGCAAAAAAAGACAATGAGACTACTATAAAATCATCTAAAAATTCTATTTTTGAAGTAAGTCCAATATAAGAAATAATTACTTTTCTCTAAAACATTTTCTGTTCTTGTACAAAAAGTACGTTTTAAATAATTATTTTTTAGTTAATATGATTTGAATAGTTACTTTAAAGTATTTGGATAATTTTTTTCTAAAGCAAGTATTTTTTAATTATTTAAGTTATTATGAAAATTTTTAAAAATATTTTATGATAAAAGCAAATTTAAATAATAATGGTTTAAAAATTTTATGTAACTTTTTATTGATACTTTTCACATGTTACTAATATGAAAAATATTTTCTAACTGAAATACTATTTCTGTTTGTTCTTAAAATATGTTTTCATTCATATATATTGTGATAAAAACATGTTGAAATCAAAATAACACTCATAAGAAAAGCTTTTATATATTTTTTGGTATTTACACATTTTCCCATTCATCATAAAAGTTGGCAGCAAGCTTACAAAACTTGTGCCATTCATTCAAAGTATAAATAGGAGCTCAATTAAATTTAATATGGCAGCAAATTGTGTTGTTATTATTTTGGATTACAGCAAGACATGGCAAGGCTGTCTGCTTAACAGAAAGGATGCTTTTGTGAAGAATGTTTCAAAGAAAACTGGCTTGCATTAATGTCACGCATGGGAAAGGGTCACAGAAACTCGCATGCAGACAGTTCATTTGCAAAGACTTGAATTCGAGTCAAACTATCAGCATTCAGCAATTCATTGCTTGACCTCTGATGTATCAGTATCAGTCATTTTTGTAAAACCTGCACTTCATAAATTTGCCTAAATAAGAAACTGTGTCATACAGTTCCTCAGTGTTTTCTTGTGTCTTGTGCCTACAGACTTTTAATGTTTTAAATATATGCACCAGTATCAGAATTTACAAAATTATATTGATGATTAATGAACAGACGCTAATTCGTTATTGACACTAATTTGTACTATATGTCAAAAGTGTTCACTTGAAATAACTGGTTTTTCTAAATTAATACTATAATATTTACAAAATAAGATGAACTTTTTTGCATTCGCTTATATTTTACTGTGGCTGCCAACATAAAAGAATTTACTTTTAGAAATATTCAAATTTAGCAAATCTTTAGTATGTAATCCAGATCATCAAATCATATATAAAAAAATGTTTGAATTCTAAAATATCTGAAAGAGCTCTTTTATCATCCAATGTAAGTTTTGATATTTCAAATTAACAGTAATTTCCTTTAACTTATTGTAATAGTTACTACTTTAAAATATATAAGCTTAATATATGCAGAATGAAAAATAAATTTTGAAGTTTATGATGTCCCTCTGCATTTCATCTGTAAAATAAGATTTTAAAATGTTTTAAATTTTTTTTAAAAATTATATAGTGATATTACTTTTTATTTGATTACTCTGATGTAAATGCTGCAGTTAAATTCTTAAAATGTTCATCATTTTTGTTTGTTGTTGTATCTGAAATTTAATTCATATACATTTTTAAATATTATGTTTGGAGATTAATTGGCATTATGCAAACAAATTTTAGAAACGGCCACGATCAAGATCTCTTTCTCAGTTGCCTGATCCCTGGCATACGAGCTTGCTAACAAATTCCTCTGAAGAAAATTCTGATAAAGTTATAAATGGTGCTAAAAGTGTAAAAATCAATGGAATGTCTCACAGTGATGCTGAAAATGTTAATTCTTTGAATTCTAATGAGAAACCAAAGAAAAAGCGTTCTAATTCATCAAAAAACACTTCTAATGACAAAGCACAAGATTCAGATACAAGTGATGATGAACGGATGGTGATTTGCGAGGATGATACTAATTCAGGTTAGTTTTTCTTCTTTTGGAAAATCATTTTTATGATAAGGTTTATTAATTTAATTAGAATCTTTAAATGTGTGTAATTGGTGTGTTAATGTGAGGGGATTATTTTCATTTATTTCTCCTCATAATGCAGTTAAATACTTGGTTTAAGATAATGCTGTATTAAAAGTTATGTTTATGTAAGTGAATATCTCTTGTTATATTTGGTAGTTACGTTATGTGCAAATTGTCATTTTTGAATTTTTCTTCACGTGTAAACATTTATCTTGTCTATTAAATATATATTATATCTTTATTAAAGATGTATAACTATAAAGTTCAGTAGTGAAGTGTGGGTGTATTGAAAGTGAAGGTGTATTAAACTTTTTGAAAAGTGTACTTTTTCATTAAAGCCATTTTGCAGTTTTGAGCCCCATAGTGGTGCATTTTGGTTTATTTCTTTCTTCACACTTTTAGCTCAGTTTTAGACAAAACATAATACTCAGGAACAGCAACATTTTTGGAGGATTATGTTGTAAAAGCACAGGGAACATCTGTGCTTTTACAACATAATCCTCTAAAAATCAGCTCTGTGTAGGGGGAGGGAGAACAGAGATGTATTATGTTTTTATTTTCTTTGTACAAAATAAAGGAAGTATTATATGCACAGAAAATATTGGATATCATATTTCAATGGAAATATTCATTTTGACTACTATTTTTTGCATGACGTGTGTTTACATGGACTGAATAAAAGACTTTTTTTTTTTCCAAAATGGATTCAAAATATTTTTTTTCATGATGTCTGTACATACATACACACATATGTATTTCATGTAATTCAAAAAAAGTTATCTGTAGAATGGGAAATTTTGGATATGGGGCTGTATAGAATATCTAGGTGTATATAACGGCTAGTTGTGCACTTCCTTTTTTAATTGAAATCAGCAGTACTGAAAGTATAATACTGCCTAACATGCAACATGATGAAGATTTGGCTGTATAAATATGCAAATTTCAGGTAACACATAGTGGAAAAAGTCATGCAGATGATATAAGATGCAAGTTGATCACGTGATTATAGTGCAAGATAAAAGTGAAGGAAATTGTGAATGAACCAACACTCTGCTGCTTAGGGAATCCAGAATTTCAAGAAGTTTAACATGCTTAGACAATGACATAATAGGTTGTTTCAGCAACTGGATGATTTTACGAGGTATGACATTGTAAGCTTACATATGGTTGGTAGGTCTTACTGTCATATCACTGCTGAAACTCACGTAGATCATCCGCTGTACATAAATTTTGGTCTAGAGGGATCAATGAAGGAAATGTAAATAATTGCTAAAGATCAGGTTCATCTGGACATACTACAGAGTGCACAGTTTGATGCATGCCAAGATAAGCGGTGGTGAATGGAATGTGGTGGGAGCTTTGGATGTTCCAATATCTGGGAGAACAGTTTCCCCAACATTTGCCTGAAAGCAGCCTGCATGCAAGCCACCCTTGTGCAGACTGCCATTAATGCCAAATCATCGACACGACTGCGAGGTGTCGTCAGTAAGACATTTGGACATCTCAGTAGCATTGCGTCTTGGTTTGCTTGATGATATTTGGCGATTAAGAATCTGATGGCATTGGGGAGATAGAGCCAGTCCGACTGCTATTGCTGAATGAATTTTATGATAACTGGGATGTGATTTAATGCCGTTTATCTGCACTGCCCCAGCCATTAACGGAAGGCGAACTTTGGAGGAGGGTTCAGAGCATATGGGCAGCATACCATCTCTCAGAACGCAATCCCCACACTAATCGAATCTGTAACCTTGTAGGGTTGCAACTTTCATTGCTGAAACAGATGGTCATAAATCTTACTGATTCCTTATATATTTCAGGCACTGTATAAATTTATTCTTTCTATAAATAGCATCACTTATTTACATATGCATGCTCTATTCTGTGTATTAATTGCCATCTACCCAATCTTTCATAGTGTTGCTTTTTCCAATTCAATTAGTGTATATATCTAAGTCTCTGTGATTTATGTATGTAACTAAACATTTTAATTAATCATAATAAATTGCCTAATACTTGCACAAAAGCTGTGAATATAATATATACACACACACGCTCCCACATCCCTGACCTTTATTTTCGGAATTATTGGTTGTAGTCTTATACTTCTAATTACAGAAGTGCTTTAAATGATGAAAATATTTTTTTGACAATGTCAAATTTAAGAAAAATTAATTTTGGACAAATAATAAAATTTAACTTTTATTGCGATCTCTCAGTTCCTGTACTTATATTTGGAAAAGTTTTATAGTCCTTATGAAAAAATAAAATTATGCGATTTTTGTCTCCTGATGCCAAAAATTGAGTGGGATGTTTAATTTCAAAATTTGCAATATTTGATGTCATTTTCAACTTGCTTTGAGGGATTTGCTAAGTTGAAATTATTCGAAGAAATAAGTTTAAATGAAGTGCAGCAAAAAATATGTTTAATTTAATATGACATATGAGAAAGTCATGTGGTGTCCACATCAGATTTTTCTTTTTGTGTATAAGGTTTTGTCAGTTTCCTCAATTTTTAACATTAGGATGAGATAACAAGGAATTAACACATACCTTTCTTAACATTATTCCAACCAGCCTTTGTGTTCCAGCTTACCAGCCTTGAAGCAAGTTTTCATTTGCTAATCAATAGATGCCTTATTTCCTCATTTATTTTTGCTTCTTTCATTTTAGTTCCAGGTTCTGAAATTTAAAAATCATTCATGTAATTTTTCCCTTTATGCCAGCCTAATGCAAGAACCGACCCATCAAAATGACCAAAGACAAACTGACATTCAGTTGACTGTTTGGGCAAGTTGGTCGTAAATTCACCTTCTCATTATTTATGGATGATATGAGGTGGCTGTGACAACTATAAGAATATGCGAGAATCAGGTTACGGGGAAATAGAAAGAAGAGTACCATATTAGATATTTGAATGTTATTTTGTATTCTTATTGGAATTAAAAAAATAATAATACTGTGATAGTTAACTAGTTTATCCATGACTACTTTTCATTTATTATGCTGTTATTGTAACCGTGTCCATCGGAAATTAAACTATTTGCATAATGTTCTCCTGTCAATTTTCAGACCATAAAAATAGAGGGGAGGGGAGGGAAATTCAAGGAGTAACAGTGTTAATTCCTGATACCATAAATAATCACATGGCAGTGATTAAAGAAATGCATGATCCAACAGAACATTGTGTTCTTATACCTCTTCCTTCTTGACAAGAGTGAAAATATACTCAAACAATAAAAGTGGCAAGTATGGCTTTAATAGAAAAGTACTCCCAGACTGTTATTAATATTATTAGATGATTAGATATTTGTATTATTTGAACAAACTCACTTTTATACATATCTCCTTTATTCTTATTTGTGTAACAGTAAGGGATTTAACTTCATTGGGTAATTGCAAGGGGTGATTACTTTCACATAAGTTGTTATTGAACTTCAGTTTTTAAGATGCCCTATTTTCCCTATGTAGATAACTCCAAACACAACATATATGCTTAAAAATCAATGGCATCTTGAAATATCAATCCCTCTCCTAAACTCTTACATGTTGACCTCTATCTGGAGACATATTTATAGAGGGAGTTTGTCTTATAATAAAAGAAATGCAGTATACATGCTGCCTTTTCAGTTAGGTATAAATAAGTTGTTTGTGTGCTCAGTGATTGAATATTTTTTGTGTTATGGAAAAGCTAAAATGTACTAAATTATGTGTAGTTAAATATTTTGTGAGATAAGTCTTCTTACCTGGAAAAAGAGAAATTTTATTTGTGAATAGTTATTAAAAATTTCTGAGGTGCAGACTATATTGTACTAAGTCAAAAAATTGTTGGCTAACTTAGACACATAAGGGAATAGCTTTATTGCAGTTTTTGATCAGAATCCAACTTGGTATAGTCAGAATTAGAGCAGAACTTCGAACAAAAGGAATTTCCGTGTAGATATATAGTGATACTGGGAAAGAGAATAGTGTTGGTTAGATTTTAAATTAACCATTAAGTTTATATATACAAATGCCAAAATGCACTTAAAGGTATATCAAAAATACTATGTGATGTAATTTAAAGTTCTAGTAAACTCATTCTGCACTTAAACCTCATCTCTTTGCACAATATGATTGCTGCCACTCTGCAGTTCTTTATATACCAAAATTACTTCTGCTTTTGGAAGACTTTAGAGAATACAGTTTCGTATTTGAAAATATAGTATATTCAAACTTCATATTTTTATTCTTTTGCCATTATCTCATGATTTCGAAAATAAAGTCACTAATAATTTTTAAACTTTTTAAAATCATGCAGTTTACTAAAATTTGATAATACAAATAATTTGTTTAATCTGAAAAAAACGTTCTCAGTGTTAAAAAGAATTCTTAATGTTATGAAATTTGTATTTAGTTAGATAGTTTTAGTAGAATTATAATTAAAATATTTGTATTTCCTTGTGCAATGTGCATTTAAAGAGAAAAGCTATGCCGGAAAATTAGAAATACAGGAGCATGTGCATTTAACATTGAGTAGAAGTTTATCTTGGTAATTTATATTTAAATTGAATACTGTGTTAGCTGTAATCGTAGTTTCATCCTTTTATTGCTTTCCAGAAATCTTGAGAAGCAGAAAATGCTAGAACAATCTCGTGCGGCCGGTTAAAAACTATTTAAAGCCGTACAGAGACATCTCAGCTCAGTTGTTTAGTTAGCTGCTGTTGTTATTGTTGCGAATTTGTGGTGAGATTGGATTAGCTTTCTCTTTAAATGTGTTGTGAATTGCATTCTATTCAACTTATTTGCGTTCTCCTGATTATTACTGCCTGATATTGTGAACACATGAACGAATATCTCTGAGAAAAATTCCAAAGTTTTGTTATATGTCTTGTGATAAGAATAAATTTTTGACTTGTGCATTCAATCTATTATGAAGCCGTATGCAAGCAACATTACTTTTAACTTGGAGGTGATGGGTCAACTATCTTGATACAGAGCTTTTAGGTAATTATTCTCTTAGATCATCAATGATTTGTTTTAGAAAATTTATTAAAAGTACTTTATTTTCTTTTTATAGCAAATGAAAAGTCATTATCAATTGAAGATCCTCCCATTGATTTAAAATGCAAGGAAAAAGTTACAGAAAGTGACACCGAAAGTCAATCAGATGACGAATCTCTTATAGAAAACAAAGCATTTCCCCAGCAGAGGTTCTCTCCTGTTATGAAACTTGGACCTTCAGCTGAAGTTACCCACCGTCCTAAACCAATAAAAGCACATCCTTGCTCTAATTCTCAAGTTCCATTTCCCATTGGAACAAATAACAGTAGCAATAACCATGCCTCAAGCAGTTCGGGAAGTGTACCGTTTTTAAGGCCATTACCTACAGGATCTAATTTCCAACCCACCGGTGCTGTATTTAAAGATGTACATTCTCCCAAAGTTCATAGTTCAGATGCATTTACCATATTTCCTGTTGAAAGCCAGAAGCCTTCAATAATTGTAACGTCAGAGCAAGGAGTGAATGACAGAATATCAGCATCTCCAGATATGCCTGTTTTGGTGTCAAAAACATCATCACAGGAGGAAGGTGGCCTACAATCTCAATCTATACTCAATCAGAAGTCAAGTACATTTGATCAGTTATTGGTTTCAACAGCATCAAGAGATTCTCCAAAACCACGCATTCAAAAAACAGTGCAAAAGTTGTCTAGAGGAAGTACTTTACCTCCACCACTTTCAATACCTTCTATTAATTTCAGTCATTCACCATCACCAGTTACATCTGCTGTCCATACAAATTACTCAAAAAACGTGTCATTGCAAACTCCAACTGTGAATAGGCAGCTGCAAACTTTGCAAGTTCCCACTTCTTCTGTTCCTGTTCAGAATGATAAATCCAAGTTGCAAATATCACCGATATCTGCTTCATTAATTCAAACATCTCAAGGATTTCTTGTGTCTAACGGGGCCTTAGGTGCAACTCACTACAGTATGGCAATTTTGAGTCCGCCCATTTCAAAAAACTCAGCTCCTTCTCCTCGTGCATCTCCTGCTCTTACTTCCCCTGAATATTTGACTGCAACTTTAAAAAATGTAGTTATTCCTGCTAGTAAGCAAAATGGTTTGCCAAGTATGCCACAAACACCATCTACACCAGGATCTCAGTTAACGCCAACTACAGTTCTGGCAAACTTAGTTCTTAAAACTAGTACCCAGATGCCTTCACAAGGTTTACTGTCGAGTCCAACATCTCCTGGGCAGTTTCATCTGTCTCCACAATTGATTTCAAGATCAGGTGGTCAAGTGCAATATTTGTTTCCTTCTCTGACACTACAATCATCTAATGTAAAAGGTGGGCATATATATTCATATGTATATATTGAACTAAATTGTTTTAAATTTTTTTTACGGTAAAAGTGATTCCATGTGTCACTAAATATTGTAAGAAGAGTGGCACAATCTTGCTCACTCAAACTCTCCTAATTATGTAGGACCTCAGAGTGAATATCTTAGTAATGTTTGAGTGTTATTTTTTTTGGGGGGAAGGAAATGGAAAAAGATGAAAAATTCCAAAAAATAAGCAACAACATGAAAAAATACGAATAATACAAAAATTTCATTAATCTTTTTAGAGTTCTTTATTTAGTTTTATTTTATTATACTTGAGAGTTTTAATTTAAATTAAGACTCTCGAGCATAATAAAATAGATTTTTACAAATTTATTTACAATTAATTTATGATATTCATCTTAAAGATATGTTATTGCACACATTGAATAAATGATAGTTTATGTACCAATTATATGTCTATTACATATTTTGTTTTAATACTTTATGTGAGAAATAAATATCACATAAGCATTAAAAGAAAGAGAGACAAAGGAATGCAAAAATCCTTTACTAATATTTATTTGCTTTATATAATATGTACATGGGAGGAGTAGATATAGCATTTCAAAGACATAAAATATCGTACTCTTGCCAGAAAATCATCCAACTAGCACATGCATTTATTTTGGTTAATTTTGAGTATTGCCAAGTGTGTATAATTCAGATAACTGTAAATTATCCTCAAGAAAAATAATCTAAAATATTATGGCTTTTAAGTTGGAACATTAACTGTTATGTAGCTATATGAAAATGTACTTTAGTATTATTTCATGTTTGTTACTAGTACATAATGGGTTGCATGGTAAGTTCTGGTTGCTAAGGGGATGAATGTTTATTTTGTTTAAAAACCAAATGTCAATCTCTGTTATTAAATAATGAAGAATTGGTATGAATGTATATTCCTGTCATTGTGGAAAAACAGTGGCACCAAGACACCAGATTTTGCACACGAGTAATCCTTCATCCAAACGTGTGCACTTCTCAGCCCGAACTTTGAATTTAAAATTTTTTTTTCATTATTTAATTTTTTGCATTAATTTAGGAAACTCGGCGCTTTTAAAAGCAAACAATGGCAACACTTATCAAAATAAAACATTTTTATCTCCAGTGTGTCAAACTGTTGCCATTCAGCAAAATGTAAGGTATTTATTTTTCACTTTTTCCAGGCAGTTTGTTGCCATTGCCTAAAATGTTCTTTTATCTTCCACATATCTCGTACCTCGTTACCATTCATCAGTACGATATTTTCAAATTTAATTTTTCTGTTATCAAATAATAAATTGATTTAAAAGCAATAAACACAATTCTTAAGAGTACTTTTTCTACTTATTGCTATTTTTTTACTCCTAACTTTAAATAAAAATACAGTCAGATCTTATTTATTTTTATAATTATTATTTTAGGCAGCTAGCTGCGTGAGCAACCAGTCATTACAAAAAATGAACTGTGTGTGTATTATTGAAGATCTGCCAGCATTCATGAAAATTTTCTCATCTCTTATCTGTGAAGTAAAGCTGGCCTAATGCTGCTAAAACATCAGGAAGTTTTCCATTCTTTTTTATTTTAGTGATGAAGGCCAGTCATGCAGTAGCACAGTTCAGCTTCTTAGTATAAGATCTAGGGAATGCATTGATTACTAAATTTGCTGGTTTTTAATTTTCAGTCTTTACTTAAGAAAATATTCACCCACAATAAATGAAGTTTATCGAATTAATGAAATTTATTAGACAAATTCTATTTCTTTACCTCTAATAATTTTCAGAATAATTTTTCTTGTTAAACTTTATTTCATTTGAATTGTATTTTTAGCCCAAAGGGCCAATTTGCCCAAAAGGGCTATTAATTTTGTTCTGGCATTTTGCGTTGGTTCACTATAAACAGCAAATCACTTTTTAAATTTTTGCCACCAAATATTAGAGCCCTGTATTATATTTAATGAAATTAAACAACGAAGAATCTTCATAAATGTATATATGTTTCTTGCATTGTGGTAAAACAACGGTACCTAGAGCCTTCAAATTTTGAATAACGTACGTCTTCACTCAAATATGTGCATCTGAAAGCCCCAAATTGGAATTTGTTTTATTATCAATTTCATATTTTGTAAAGCATTTGTGAGTTTTTGATTAACAAACTTGATGATTTCAAAGCAAGCAATGGCAGCACTGTACGGGGAAAAAGTAAACATTTTTATCTCCAGTGTGCAAGACTGTATGTCAGAAATTCTAAAGATACGCTCTTTAAAGTATTTTATGATATTGCTGTTGAATTGAATTTTAGGATTTAAGTGTAAAGAACATTATGTTTAATAAAGGTAACAGACAAAACATTAAAAAAACACCCCTTTGGGCATAACCTTAAAGCTTTAAATTGATATTTTAAAATTTTTATTGCATTGAATCTTATCAAATTTTGATTCTCCAACCTGTAATGATTTTCAAAATAATTTTCTTATTAAACTTTATTTCATCTGAGTTGTATCTTTTCTTATTACATTTTATCAACCATATTAAAAATTTTATACAAAAATTTTATCTGATACATCTGAGTTTCTGTACATTTGATCTGAGTTATATTAATCTAGTGCAACACATGTAAATTTTTATATGAAGATTCATGCAATGTGCAAACAGTTAATATTTGAATTTAATTTTCTTTAATATGTGGTAGATTACTAAGTTTACCCACACAAAAATTGTTACATAATCTACGCAAAAATTATCCACACATTTGGAATGCTATATCTACTGATTATTATTTTATTTTATCATGTTTTAATTATTACTAATTTTAATTAATTATTACTTTTATTTTTATCATATTAAAAGTACTTTAATAAGCAAAAACTTTCTTTTACTACTCGGAATTTTCTCAGTATAAAAGTTTTAAGAAAATTAAAAGATGAAATTAGCTAAAGAATATAAAATTTAGAATATCCAATTAAATACTAATATATTTTACATCAGAATTGAATTACAAATAGTTCAATAATCTGAACCTTGCATTATAATGCGAATAAATTCAGTTTGGAGTTCGTTTGAAATGGTGCCACCATGCAGTGCAAAATCCTCCCAGTTTCTTCTGGTTTTTAAGACTTCAAAGTTGGCAACTAAGGCATTTGTACATTGGCATGTTTTCTTCCAATGTATATTTCGCGGAGCCACAGTTTTTAGCAACTTTAGCGGCAACTAAAATTTATTTCTGATTCCTAATTTTGCACCCCAGTGAAAATTTTGAACATAGGTTTTTATCGGTTCATTACTTACTTTAAATGGATAAATATATATATGAAATGTAATTTCTCATACATTATTTGTTTTGTGCAGCCGGGGCAACAGGAATGAGACAAATTTTGGAATATAAAGTGGTAGGTTTATTTTAGCATCCATCTCACAAGCGTTCTCCTCGTACCTTGAGCAGAAGCCCTACTTATACATATGTGTACGTCACGAGGCTCCTCCAATCAGCGATATTAATTGAAATCACGAGAGGTGACGCTATCTTCTCATCAGGAGTGTTCTTAAGTACTTTATGTAATATGACAGATTTATGAGTTTGGCGATTTGGCGGGCGCCAACAGGTTAATATATTTTATACTAAAGAAAGGATTTCGCCAAAATTTAGGAACAGGGATGCAATTTAGGTAGAGAATCGCCAACACATTATTAAGCAATATTAATAGAATTTAATTTAATCAATTGATTTAAAAATATCATTACAGATTATCCCCCCCCCCATCTGAAAAGGCTTGCAGTCGCGGCCGTCGACCCAAGACAGTCCAGATAGTGAGAGCAGAAAATTTAGTTATTAGGAAATTAAGTGAGTAGGAAAACTGATTGGATTTACCTCAAGGCACACAAAATGTTTACATAAAATATGACATAAAATATTTGAATATAATTAATACAGTATATAAAATATAATAAATGATTAATGAAATTATAATATAGTAACTAAGTGCAGAACAAATAAAGCACTAATAACATATTGCTGGTTAGCTACGCGGCAATAGGAAATAGTAATATAACTGAATTTGTAAGTTTATATCTTAGGGCATGCCATTCACAGTTTGTGTATGAGTCCGTACAATCATTAGAGTTGTCATTCAGGCTCATCTTCAGTCTTTTACTGGTCTTTGGATATCTCCGGATCATTTAATTAGCGCTAGAATTATGGATTCAGCATTGGCACTGAAAACATTTGAGTTTTTATGTCACGATACTAGAGCTCTTATACTCTTGTTGAAAATACACATTTTGCTAGGTTTTTAACATATTTTGTCACTCTATTTTCTCTTATTAATGATAACAAAACAAAATTTAACTTCCAACATCCATACCAGTTTTTTGTACACGATGCTGCAGAAACATAAAATGAAATTCAGAAATTTCAACAACTGAAATTTAACTTTTTCAACTGTTGCTACAATTTATAACACAAACATAGGAAAACATGAGCTCAAGGAAATGTGAGGGTATAGTACTCTACTTGTAGTATAGCCTCAATTGAGTGTTTCCCACACGGAAAGTGCATTGAACCTGAAACTCAAGTTTGAAGGAGCCCAGTAAAAGAAAAGGGCAGACAAACTTTTCAGACACTGAGAGATAAATCAACTATTAAGGGGGACAACAGGATGAAAACTAAAAGAAGGGTTATGGATAGTTTATTGATTTATAAATTTTGATTTATTCATGATGTAATTTAAAGTTCTCGGGGGTGGATAATAGAACCTTAATTTTGACGCATGTACAATCTCAGTTGGTTTCTTCGTGTGTGAAAATTTTCCCTGTCGATTTCATAATTAACTTCAGATAATTTATTCATAATCTGATAAGGGCCTGAATAGGGTGAAGTCAATTTTCTAGTATTTGGGTATTCAAATTCCTCGTAAAGGACAAAATCTCCAGGTTGAAATTTAGATTCTACAAATCTGATGTCATATCTAGTTTTATTCTTTCGGTGGTATTCGATAGTTCTTTTCTTTGCTAAAGCCCTTGCTTCATTTAAGGAAGGGTATTTATTTTGATCAATTGGAGATTCAAAAGGGAGGTTACCAAATAGTACGTATGCTGGGGTGAACTTTGTTACCGTATGAGGGGAGTTGTTATATTCGATAACAACTTGCTCTTGCTCTAGCACTTTAGTCCATGGTACTTTTTTAGAAGAAGAATTTACTTTACATTTTAGTCGACTTACTATTGATTGATTTACTCTTTCTACTTTACCATTTGTCTGGGGATGGTGAGATGAAGTTAAAAGTTGTTTAACATTATGCTTTTTAAGAAATTTTTTAAATCTAGAGGAAGTGAAGGCTGCATTCCTGTCACTCAGAATTTTTTCGGTGACTTGTATTTGAAATATTTGTTTTAGACAATTGGCATAGGTTTCTGAAGTTACACTTTTAGAGGGAAAAGCCCAGACATATCTTGTTGCATGGTCAATAACTATATGTAAATATTTTTTTGTAGAATTATAATAATTAAATCCTCCCACAGTGTCAATAGAGAGACATTCGAAAGGTTTGTCGGTTGGGGGTACGTCTTGCATAAGACCAAATTTTTTCTGTTTTTTCTTTTTTATTAAGTTGACAAGTATGACAATGTTTAACAAAATTTTTCCGATATCTTCGCTAATATGAGGCCAATAATATTGAGGGGTGATTAAGTTAAGCATAATTTGAACTCCCGGGTGACCAAAAATTTTCATGGGTTTTATTCAACAATTTTAATCTTAAAGATTTAGGTACTACAATTTTATAAAATTCTTAACTCTAATTTTTACCAATATCTAATTTTTTGCGAAAATAATGTCCTCTTTATGATTGTACTTGTATGGCAAAATGCTAATATATTAAGAAATTGGTGGATTCGAATCGAACGTTCTACGAACGTAAAAAACTCCCTCAGCAACCGCTTTTTCGACTCCTTCGCCTTCTTTGGTCAATGACCTCGTCCCCCCCTCGACCACCCGGCTCTTAGCTCATAGCTTGAATACAGTTACCTTACCTTTCCCGGGGCCCGGTCTCCGCGCCTCTCTCCATCAGCTGACTCGTATCCATGGCAACCATTCACGCTGAGCGTTCCGGCTGCCTCTCCTTTTGTATCTGAGAGCAAGCAGTTGACTCGCGACGGGGGGCTCAATGCCTTCCATTGTGTTCAACGCTTGTTCTTTCCTCCTTGTCCAAACAAGAGGACTCTTACGAATCTTGATTTTGCTTAACTGCTTCTTTCACAAACTTAGCTAATGCTTTCTCTTATCCTTCCAATTTCTGACGATGATGTGGAGGTAATTGCATTAATTGCAAAGGTACTCAATTCAAACGCCTGGTCTTGGTCTTGGTCCAAACGTAAATTAAAGTGGGGGCGAAAAAATTTTTCCTTTAAAATTTGGATTTAATCCACATATTTAGTAATTTTATGGCAGTTTTTTTTTGACATATACGCTAAGTGCATTACCTTTTAGATATCGAGCTACATTATTAAGCTTCCATGTTTCATCTTTATCTAAATGAGTTTTGTTAAAGTACTCAAGCCACGAATTTATATCCATATCATTCTGCACGTCAAAGGGAATACTTGTTTCAGGTTTCAGCGCTAGCTGCCCTTAATGAACCATCAGGATCAGAGATGTTTCATTACCCCATTATCTCTAATAATAATACTTTCATAAATAAAACTAACTCAAAAATAATAACTCTTTAAATTTTCCCAAAACAATATTAAAACCAAAAACATCCTTTAATACCAAATTTAAAATACATTTATGCCAAAATAATACTTTTTAAAATTTTCAAAATAAAAACACTATTATTAAATCAGTAATTATAATTCAATAGTAATAATATCATTTACATCGCCAAATTATAATTAAATAGTAATAATATCATTTACATTGCCAAACTTTTTACTAATTGCTTCTGTTTGCCTTATTGTGACGAGAATACGAGTGATGAAATCGACACGAAAATACACATTTTTGTGCACTCTTGATTAGATTTTCGCAAAACACGATCAATCACCACACAAGCACAAAGCTCTCGAGAGCAACACAGAACGGCGTAGACGTAGGGAAAGATTTCCATCCTCAAAAGTAGGTCAACGGTAAGAGCACATTTCATGAACGACGAACTTTCGATGGAAACACAGATCAAACATCACAGGGGGCAGAAGGATGCTTCTCTGGACGTAAAATAAGATGCTTCTCTGGACGTAAAATAACATGCTTCTCTGGACGTAAAATAAGATGCTTCTCTGGACGTCAAATAATCTGCAGAATACCAGAATATAGTTAACAGAAGGATGATTACCTTGAAACAAGAACGCCTAGAGAAAAATGTAGAAACATAGAAGTCGCACACCGGCAAATGTCATCTAAAGTGCGTAACATTTTATCCGTATAATCCTTGGGGTATCTTCTGTTTTAGATAATCCCTTTGAAGGTGGTATCCTACCGGCTTTCTGAAATGTAATTTCTCATACATTATTTGTTTTGTGCAGCCGGGGCAACAGGAATGAGACAAATTTTGGAATATAAAGTGGTAGGTTTATTTTAGCATCCATCTCACAAGCGTTCTCTCTTCGTACCTTGAGCAGAAGCCCTATTTATCCCTATGTGTGCGTCACGAGGCTCATCCAATCAGCGATATTAATTGAAATCACGAGGTGACGCTATCTTCTCATCAGGAGTGTTCTTAAGGACTTTATGTAATATGACAGATTTATGAGTTTGGCGATTTGGCGGGCGCCAACAGGAATATATTTTATACTAAAGAAAGGATTTCGCCAAAATTTAGGAACAGGAATGCAATTTAGGTAGAGAATCGCCAACACATTATTAAGCAATATTATTAGAATGTAATTTAATCAATTGATTTAAAAATATCATTACATATATATATATATACACACACTACCTTAATTCTTTAGGGCCCATATGTATGTTTGTGTACGTAGAGGTATTGTAATAAATATTTTTGAATGTGAATATGTTTGACTTGGCCACTTAGAGTTTTAAAGTAAATCTAAAATTGTTTCTTTTTATAATCACAGAAAATCAGATATTAAAGTTAATATCTATAAACTCATTTAACATGCTAAAGACATCAGTCAAAGGAACAGCCAATTTAACTAACATTCTTGTTGAATCACATTTCTTTATGATTAGAAAAATAAATAAAATACTATTTATGGGTATGATGTCTCTCTCTTCCTTTGGTGGTCAATTAATTCTGTTTGCTTGTAACTTTATTGTCATATGTCTTCACTATGAAGTATGTTCACTATTAGCTTATCTTTCAGTTTTTTAACTTCAGCATTGCAATTTCATTTAAGGTACATATAAGTCACCCTGATCTGTAAAGTGGTTAAGGTTTCTGACTGTATCACTGCGCCTAGGTTCAAATGGATGTTAGTAAGTGTATTGTATCCTTATGACATGGTGTCACTTAAAATACATGGCAAGTTAAAAGTCCTCACGAGTCACTTGGTGGTGAAGAAAGAAGTATGGGAGACCATTGGATTCATCCCCTGTGGGATTCTCCTTCAAAACTCTGACTGAGTTTGGCAGAGTCATGCTTAAACCTCTGAACCTCTAAATGGCATGTAATTTTTGATCTATTGCTGAAGACCTGTATTTAAAGCACATTTATTAGCTAAATTTTTGTAATTATTTGTTTCAGTCTTTGGTTTCTTAAATTTCTATTCATTGTGATGATATTTGCACCATTTAAGAAAACAAAGTATGTAAAATTATAAGGAAATACATACCAGGTGACACAAGATTTTATGACCAGATAAAGGCGATCATACCTCTTAGATGAAATACCAACAGATGGAATTTTGTACTACTTGCCTCAATAAAATTTGTGGACTTGGTGATATTTTCAAGCAAGTGATATAAGTAACAACAGCAATTGCATATAAAATTTTCATTCAATTCATTGAAATGAAATGAGGAATGAAAAAAGAGCAAAGCTTAATATAAGCACAATAATTACAGAGCAAGTGCCTATATTTTTTCTCCTTCATCCAGTTCACCGTTTAGTAGCAATCCAAACAAGGTCTCATTTGTGTAGAATCCCCGTTAAGGGGCACCTGAGGTGCTGGTAAGAGCGCGATGAAGTTCGCTCTGAGACCATCCTAAGTAACAGTATCACAAAAGGTTTTAAACCATAGGCACTCTGTAATTTGAAATCTAGATTACTGAAGCCTTAAGCGTTTTCTGTGTATAAAGTTTTAGCATAACCAAATTCAATATAAATGGCATAAAACATATTATATATATAAAAAAAATTATCTTTCAATTTTAACATGCTTATTTTATTGTAATTATTAAATAAAATAGGAAATCTTTATTCAGGTGTGGTGCAGATGGCTGTTCCTGCTCAAGGCAGCATTCAACTGGGTACACCTACTAGTCATGCGAGTGGTGTTCCAGCTGGTTTAACTGGAAGTAATACCAAGTATATAGCCAACGGTCATGGCAAGTAAGTAGTAATCTTTATGATAAGTTATATTAACATAATTCATAACATTTAGAGAATATTGTGGGAAACTATAATAAATTATTTTGAATATGGCGAAATATTAACCACTTTTCTGCCCAATAAGTTTCAGAAATCTGTTCAAAATTTCTCTGTTTTTGTATTGCAGAACGTGAAAGAAAACTGCATTTTTAATGAATTATATGTGAAAAATTACTCCTATGTCAAAAATAAAGTATCTTCATCGACAGAAAAAATTACAATTACGGAATTTTGCACACACATTAGTATGAGTAGTGAACTCTAAAATACCTCTATAATGCTGGCTTTTTTAACATATTCAGGTAGTAATAAATAATTTATATAGCTTTACATATTGTATTTACTACACATCTGGAAATTTTTGCTATTGCATAATCTATTTTAAAATGAGGAATGCCATACGAAGAATGTTTTTTGGTATATTTTAAAACAAGGAATGAATGAAAGAAAACATGTGAACGAGAATAATATAATTTAAAAGCTGATTTATATGCTTTTAATAGTAAGATTATAAGAGTTTATTGATTTGTAATAAAATTTATTAAATGAAACCATCAGGAAATTCAGCACTATATAGCAAAACAGATGTTTCACTATGAATACAGCAACCCCTCCCCTGAAAAAAATACAGACTTGTTTTTTATGGTTATGTAATGCCACATACGGGCAAAACTGTTAAGCAGTTAAAAACTGAGCAAGTGTTTAATTTTGTTTTTGCTTTTGAGGTTAATAGAAAGTTAAAGAAACGACTGAAAACTGGTTATTTTACTCTGGAATGAGAAGGCTATAAATAAGACACAAAATTTTAATTACTGTATTTTATTCTTGTTAATAGATTTAATAGTTTACATGAAGTGTATGATAAAAATATTACTTCATTTCCTTTGAACATAATTATTAAAATTAAATTTTTCTATTAAATGAAGTAAACAGATGTAGGCAGCTCTATTGACTTTTTTATGAGAAGTATTTTGTAAAGTAGAAGATCTTTTAAAAATCAACTGTTGAGTCTTCCAAAAGCTGAACTTTAAAGTGGAATAAATCTTGAAAATGTAAATGTTATATTTTCACAGAAACACATAAATATCTGAAGAATTCATATATTAAAAATGTTCTATGGTCAAAATGAGTATGTTAATGATTTAAGATTTCTGTTATTTTATGTTAGTGTTGTAAACCATTGTAGGTACCAGTGCGTGCAGTTTAGCTAAAACATTATTTATTGATGATTTGTTTTTGCAGATTTTCTTTTCCTATGTTTAAATGTTTTTAAAAATTTGCTTAATTAATTAGAAAAATTAATTAGAAATTATTAAAATTATTCCCATTATACATGAGATATGCAAAATTGAATCTCATTATTATGGCCATCATCCACTTCAAACATCAGCGCATCTATCACTTTCGCATACAGCAAAGGTAAATTACAAGATGTTTCCATTCATGAATATACCATTATTATGGGCAAAACATTATTTTATTAGACATGTATGCCTTTAATGTTATTTTTCTCGAACATTGAAATTACCTTCACCCTTTGAAGTAATGATTTTGCAGATTCATAGGTTTAGTATGGTGCTAATTATATTTTTGTAATAAACCAATAAAATTTTTCTAAAAGAATTCTTTTAAAAATTTTTTTTGGTAATTTCTGATTATGTGTCCCTTCTCCAATGAAGCAAACTAATATATAGCTAAATTATGAAGCAAAGCAGTATATTGCTGAAATAGTTCTGTGGCAACGACCTACAGTGTGACGAAAAAGTTGTTTTGTGGCAACCCATCTATGCATATTGTACAGTAGTTTGCAACATGTCAGCCATTTCACAACTGCTAAAAAATTATCTCCCTCTTTTCCCAAATTTGAAAAATACACAGACAGTTATTTAGATTTAATTTTTTTAATACAATTTTATAAATTAAACAACAAAAAGTATAGAAAATGTTGATAAATACCAAAACTAGAGTATAAGCAGTTTTTTGTATTTATAAACTAAATACTTATAAGCTAAATAAAAGGCTAACCAAATTCCCCCTTAAACTATGAAAATTTCCCAAAGATTTCCTCTTAGTATAACACATGACTGTTTTGGCCAGGCTAGAATGGCAAAATTGTTTGGAATTTTAAAATTATGTATGAAAACTTGCATTAGTTTAAGTTTGTGATAAATTAACCCATGTATATTTTTATCCCCAAAATGTTGGCTGTGGACATGAAAGAGAGTTCATGCTTAACCCTCTATTGCATGATTTTTACTTGGAAAAAATATGTATGTACTTGAATGTAATGAGAAAACATGAAAAAACGCTAAAAAAAATTAACTCTTAAATTTTCACTGTTTTTAATTGAATATTAACTTGTGCCAAATAGCAACAACATGCATTTGAACATAATAAACAAAAAAATTAAACCATGCCAAATGGCTACACCATGCATTCAACAGACAAAAATTGCTTTAAATGATCTCTAAAACAGTTTTTGTTTGTAAAAATATGGAGGACCTAAGCATTTGGTGCAATGTACTCTAGTAAATCCTTTGCAACTCAACATTTTACATTGTTGTTTATTTGTATCAGTGCTCTGATCAATGGTCAGTTCTGTCAGATATGATTACCTCTCTCTTTTTCTATCTTGGAAGCTGTCTTGAGCAAGTCTTTTTTGCTTGTTTTCCAGTTACTTCCTTTGTGGCTCACAGTCTCCCTCTTTTTAGAGATTTGTTTGTCTGTGTAAGCACAAAGTTTGTGTTAACTGCAGTCTAAAACTGATAAGTTTAGAGGCTTTTCAGTACTAAACTTTTGTTTGTGTACTTTTATAAAACAACCAAGAATTGATAATTGTCAGGTCTAATAGATGGTAGAACAACTGAAAATATCACTTTTTGCTTCCCATGATTATTTTTACCTTCCAATCAAACTATCAAGTAAGTGCACACTTTTCATGTGCTTGTTGTAAGTTATAACAGGAGGACAGTTTACTTTCATATGACACTTTTCTTTCCTGTCAAAGCGCTGTATGTTAGGATTAAATGTAGGATCTTCATCTCTATTATCCATATCTTCATCCTTTCCACTTGAAAGGCCATTGCATATTTCATCTGTCAATACTTTTTATGTTTCATCCGTATCAATAACATAAACAGACCTATTTGCTTCCATTATTTTAGCTTATAAAGTTTAAAAAAAGAAATAAATTACTTCTAGTCCTATCACAAAGACTTATAATTAAAACTGCGTGAACAAAAAAAAAAAAAAAAAAAAAAAAAAAAAAAAAAAGAAAAATTGAGAGCAGGGGTTCTCAACCCCGTGCCCACGAAGCTATTTTTTTTTTGCTCACGACTGTCCGCTATATACTATATTAGTATCAACTGCGCCCAACCCGTGGCCCAAAAATTGCATTAAATGCAACTATTTTGAATTTTTTGTTAGCTTTTTAATGTAAGGTATTGTTTATGATGCTTATGATTGCAATAAAATAAAGAAATATTAAGAATCACAGTACTTTTTTTTTTTACTGCTCCTGCCAGCATTTCCTGTTTGTCAGATGTACCCAGATGGGGAATAAGGTTAAGAACCCCTGATCTAGAGTAAGAAATATATATAGAGTACATATTTTCTGAACTGCAGTACTGAGTTATTGTTCATTGCATCCTTCCTGCATAATGTTATAATAGATATGCCATAATATATACAGATATATATTATGACCTAATTTTTTTCTTAATGTTAGCTGTTACATAGCTTTTACATAAAAAGCCTTTAAATGGAATATGAATGTTAATTTTATGCATATGATTTTTTTTTTTTTTTTTTTTTGTGTGTGTGTGTGTGTGTGTGTGTGTATGTGTGTGTGTGTTCATAGAAAAACATTTAATTGTAAATAGCAACCACAAAATTTGGTCATTCAAGTGATTTGAAAAGAGTATCCTGCGATTTCATTTACTGTTACATTACAGGTAACTAGTGCCATCTATTGAGAATGAAAGGTCGTAATTGAATTAAAGATGTCTGAAACTTTCTCTTGATGCACAGTGTTGCCTTATGGCTACATTTTGATGGTCATTAAGAAGAAAAATCAACTGTGTAGCTATTTGGCAACATAATGCAGTGTAGGGTTAAGAAAACGTAATGCTTCCAAACAAGGAGTTTTAACCATGTTTCTTATTTTTTATTATGTAGCACAATATCATCATCTAAGAGTCCAAACCCTTGTGTGCAAGGAGTGATTGTAAATAAACAGGCATCCACCCTTCCAGTTGCTGCCTCACAGGTTTTGACTCTGACACCAACAGCCAGCCCTGTTGTAGAAAATTCTCGGTTGACTCTGAACAGTGGGGCTCAGACTTACACTATAACAACTCCACCTACGTCTACTCCAACACAGCGGCTTATTTTACCATCCACCAGGTAAAGATTTTAAAAAACATTCTGTTATCAAGTAAAACTTACCTCTGTAGAAATGCAGTTTGTGTCAGTTCTTAGAAGCTGTTAGAAATTAATGTTTTGTTAAGAAGTAGTCATTCAGATAGTTCCTTAAAAGGCATAAAAGATTTTGGTACTTTTCTCTTATCAGGACCAGATTCAGAAATGTACATATATATGTATATGTGTATACACATACATATATATGCACATACACTGCTAACAAAAATTAGGGGAGCAAGCAAAAAAAGTGAAAAAAAAATGTTGCATGATAGCCATGCATGGGCATGAAATGGAGAATACAAGTACAGTTAAAAGTCGTTAATCCACACTCGTCGGGACTTCGGTGATTCCGGATTATAGATCATCAGTTTAAATTTGGTAAGATGGCATGCAGAAATTACAAAATTAAAAATATGAAACTGTAATTTATGAAATAAAGAACAATTATGATCTAAAGGGTATCAAATTTTACAAAAAGAAAAACTTAATATTTATTTGTTTACTTTATTAAACATTTCTTTCAATGTAAGTTGCTTCGTTTCATGTGATAATACTTTCTCTTTAATTCTATTAAACAGATATAATTTCTTGTTTAGTTACAATGTTCCGCTGTTCAAGTCCTGTAATTGCTGTGTTGAGAATACCGACTAATTTGTCAATCGAAATGTTTTCATTTTCAATAACCTCTGGGTCACTTTCTTCACTATCGGAAGTGAATTATAATGACGAGGAACTTGATTTAAATCATATCAAAGACTGATGAGTACATCGAGATGAAATACTACTGAGTACATCGAGATGAAATACTACACTTTGTAAGGAATTATAAGCCAAATAAAATAAAAACGTCTGCCCTGAAGATAAGGATAGTGCTGACAGATCAACTTCCAATCCGCGGGGTGAAATTGATAAACAGATTTTGGATTTCGAAACATACTTTCGCTTTGTAGATACAAATTACATATTAGTAAATATATATCAGAAATTCTATTTGACATAATAGAAAGTTCAAGCTTACTTTTATGAAATTGCTCTGCAAAAAATAATAAGCCGGATCCAATTCGAAGATTAAGGAACAACACAATCTGCAACATCATACCGTCCGTTACACATTAAACACGCCTGCGCACAAACATATTTGCAGCCGTAAAGGTTTTACGCACACTCGTAAATGCCTGAACTCGTGAACGCAACGCATGCGCAGAAAGTTTGTAGCTTTGAAGTCCGGATTATAGATCATTCCGGATTATGGGTGTCCGAATTAATGACTTTTGACTCTGCTCCATTCTTGAAGAAGTGTTATCTCCAAGTCTTGAATAGCAACAGGACGCCTTGGTCTTGCAGCAACCTGTCATCAGTGTGTGTTCAAAAGCTGCTCTATTGAGTTGAGATCAGGAGAGCATAGGGGCCACTACATACACTGTATCGTTTCAGCTTCAAGAAAGTTCTCCACAAGACGAGCTGTACAAGATCTGGCATTATCCTGTATTAGCAGAAAGGAATTACCAATGGCTGCAGGGTAAGGAATGATGTGGGGTCTCAAGATCTCATCTGCATACCTTTGAGCTGTCAAAGTGCCATTCTGAATGATATACAGGACAATACGTCTGTCTATGTTGATTGCACCCATACCATCACATCTTATCTGTAGTGTGATCTTTCTTGAACAAATATAGGTTTATTTCGAGTGCAAGCTAAGTTGTCTTCAACACAGGAGGTTCGTCCTGACCTTGCTTCATCCTTGGAAGTCTTCAAGGGCCTCACTAAAATGCTTGATCCTCTTGCAAAAAGATGTTTTCTTCAGCGAGTTATTTTCATAAACATCCGTCAACATTTCATGAATTTCCTGAGAGCTTTTTTGAAATTTCGCCAAAAATTTGATGTTGATTTGTTGTTTTGTGTGTTCATTAATATGCATCATTGACAAGAGCCAAAAAAAAAAAAAAAAAAAAAAAAATCCACTTCTAGCTGTGTTCTTGCTTCGAGAGTATGGCAATTTTTGTCGCTCCAGTGGATCTCCTGCCAACAGAAAGCAAATGTGCGTGGCCGAACTTAAAACTCAATGTCACCCTACTAGCGTAGTTTGCATATTTATTGGATAGATTATGTATCATATAAAATGTGCATTTCATAAGTAGTCCTAATAAATTTTAGGAAACTTTACTGTTTGCTCCTATTAAAGAGATAAAAGGCACACTTTGCATAGTCTTGTTCTGTTTTGTGAGCTCGTGCTTAATCCATATTGTGACGAGGTCACATTGAATTAATTATTTACTATGTTAAAAATATTTAGAGTTTTGGGAGGTCATTTTTCGAACTTGTTTTAATTGAGGGTTACCGGTTGTACAGAATTGTTATTTGTTACGAGGCGTTACGTTCGAACAATGGCTAGCTCAGAAGGGATTCGTAAGTCATCTACCCGATGAATTAACAGCTATCTTGTCATAAATGGAGTACTTCATTTAAACTTAAGCAAAAAGATTTATTTACACATAAAGACAAGTTAAAAGAATATGAAATATTTATCTAGCTACAATATCTATCTAGCCACATCATGCAAACATCGTTCTTAGCTAACTAAACCGGAACTGTTCGTTTTCCTCTCTCTGGCGTCCCATGACGTCAGTCTCTATCTGGCTTTTTGATTCGTTGGCTTAGTGATGCCATTCCCAACATCCTCCCCCCTTTGAGTTGCTGGATAGCTACTCAAAACATTCAAGTCTATCAAGTTCAGTCTTAGTGGCATCTTAACAGTTCTACCAGCTCGTGTCTTTATAGTCTTAGAACTGTCACATACATCGGAAACATCAGTTGGGTCCGGAGATCGGGGTGACCCAGAAATTTCTGAATGATGAGAGGTACTCATGTCGTCTCCACGATGAGAATCTGAAGACTTTACAGCAGATTGATGTTTTTGAGGATCACTTGGATGACATGAACCTGACAAATCATCATCTTGGATTTCTAGGGGAAACACTCGTTGTATCGGACGTACTAAATTGTTAGTTTGCGTTCTTAATCTAACTGTTCTCACTTTACCGTCCTTTCCTGGAATCAGTTCCGTAACCCTGGCTAAAGGCCAATTCAATCTCTTTTTGATATCATCTCCTATCAACACAACGTCATTCACTCGAATATTTGGAAAGTGTGAATTTTGCTGTCGTTTCTGAATAAGTAGTCCTAAATATTCCTTTCGAAAACGTACTCGGAGATCTTCCATTAATTTTGCACGAAATCTGATTCTTTTCCTGAGATGATTGGTGTCTACTGTGTCTATATCAGTTACATCTAAAATAAATTGGATCTTCTGTCGGTCAGAAACATGGCAGGTGTAAGTGGAACTAAGTCTTCTGTATCTTCGGATACAAATATGTCAGGGGTCGCGAATTTACTACCCTTTCACATTCGCACATAACTGTTTCCAGTTCTTCATAGGTAAGAACAGCTCTGCCCAATGTTCTCCTAAGGAGTTCTTTGACTACTCGAACAAGTCTTTCCCACCATCCGCCCCACCAGGCAGCAGTGGGGGGGAATGAATTTCCATTCGATCTTCTGTATTTCTGTTTGTCGAGTTATTTTACTCAATCAATCAATTTCTAAAAAATTATTATAAGCTCTCCCCTAAAGTTTGTACCGTTGTCTGTATAAACCACTCTAGGTCTTCCTCTTCTAGCAACAAAACGTCTAAATGATAACAGAAAAGCATCAGTGGAAAGCGATGTTATTAACTCTAAATGAATTGCTCTATAAAGAGCACACGTGTAGAGAACCATCCATACTTTGTCCCCACGTTTTACAAATAGGGGACCTGCCTAAGTCAATACCAACTACTTCGAAAGCTGCAGCATTTTCCACTCTATCAGCAGGTAAGGAAACTGGTTCAGTGATGAGAGATTTAGTTTTGTATCGTCGACATTTAATACAGTCCTTCAGAACACTACGTATCGCTCTTCTTCCTCTTGTAATCCAGTACTTTTCACGCAATATGCTTAGTAATATCTGGGTTCCAGCATGACAGTTTTCTCGGTGAAAATATTCAATCAGTCTTTGAGTAAAGATACATTTATCAGGAAGAAGAATAGGTGAAATGAAGAAAGGCTTATCTATGCGTTCAGTAATTCGAGTTTTAACTCTGATAATTCCGTTCACATCTTTGAAAACACACAAGTTCCGAAAAGAGGTTTCACTAGGAAAAAATTGAGCTTGCACATTACGAATAAGCAGAATTTCAGCATTTTCAATCTCCTGCGTTAGAAGTTCTCCCCCCCCCCGTCTAGTATCATGATGCGATCTTACATTACTGATAAATCTCAATATCCATGCAACCATTCTAACTATTGAATGGAAATTTGAGAATTTAATGGCATACCACGGGACTCTCTCTTCCGACAAATTAATATTACATAACCTAACCTTTCTCCTTTCAAGTGTTATTTCGGGTGTTTCCGTTATCAATATTTCGGTGTCAGGCCAGTTGTCTCTTGCTTGCAACAACCATGCCGGGCCTTTCCACCAGCAGGATTCTAACAATTTCTTAGGGGAACACCCTCGCGAAATCAGATCAGCGGGATTCATTTTCCCTGGCACATGTCGCCATTCATTATTAGGAAACAGATTATTTATTTCTTTTACTCTGTTCGAGACAAAAACTGTCCAATCACCACGTTCTTTTAACCAGTATAAAGCTACCCTAGAGTCGCTCCAAAATATTGTTTTAATCTCATGGGCATTTAAAGCCTGCTTCACTGAATATGCCAACCTGGCACCAATGCAGCAAGCCATTAACTCTAACCTAGGGATCGTTACTTTCTTCAAAGGTGCAACTCTGGTTTTTGCTCTAACAAAGTAAATTTTTACCCCTTGAGAGGTTCTCGTTCTAAAAAAAATACAGGTGGCATATGCCTCTTTGCACGCATCTACGAAAACATGCATCTCAGTGGAATCATTTATTTCAACATAACGTGAGATTTCGATATCTCTTAATGCATCTATTTCTCTAAACCATCTTTTAAAAGACATTTGAATACTATCTGGTAAGGGAGTATCCCACTTTAGATTTAAATTCCACGTTTCCTGCAGTAAAAGCTTAGGTGGTAAGATTGCAGGACTCAACAGACCTATTGGATCAAATATTTTGTGAACTGTAGCTAAAATGATTCTCTTAGTAAAATTCTGATCTTCACTTACAAGATTAAAGTTTAAATTACACTTAAGAGTGTCCTTATCAAGATCCCACAAAATTCCCAATACTTTCGTGACACCAGTACTATTAGAAACATACTTACATTTTACATTACTCTCCCAGTTTCTTAAAGTTAAAGCAACCCCGTGACAAAATATCTTTTGCATTTACAATAAAATCTTCCTGCTCCTCAATATTTGCAACACCAGAAACACAATTATCTACGTAAAAAGAATGTTTCAGTTTTTGTGCTATAGCATCAAATTCAGATGGTACATTATCTAATAAATGTGTAATTGAGGCTGCTAATAAAAATGGACTCGACTTTAACCCAAATACTACTCTGCGATGTCGGTAAACAATCTGTTCACTCTCGGACGGATAAAAAAACCGCAAGAAATCTCTATGTTGAGGGGCTATACTTAGCATCAGAAATGCTTTCTCAATATCTGAAGATAATCCTATTGGATGAATTCGAAACCTATCAAGTATCTCTGGAATTATTTCTAGTAAGTTCGGACCCTTATACAAAAGGTCATTCAAAGAGCATTTACCACTTTCTCGGGCTGACGCGTCAAAGACAGGTCTGATTTTTGTAGTGGTACTGTCCTTAATTACTGGCCGATGAGGTAAAAAATGTCCCGTCTCAATATTATCAGTTACCTTTTCAATTATATTCAATTTTTCCCATTCCCGGAAAATCGTAGTATATTCTTCTAAAAATGCTTTATCTTGTGCTCGCTGGCACATCCTTTTATGCCGCTTCCAAGTTAAATCTTTATTTGTCGGCAAATCGGCCACATCAGATTTAAAAGGTAAACAAAGTTCATATCTACCGTCTGAAAGAATTTTCACATTATTTTTAAACTCTTCCAAAACTCTAGAATGTTCTAAATTCTTTCTATTATTTTCAATGGGATCTGAAATACCTATGGATTCTAAAGACCACAAATCTTTTATCGAATAATTACTAACATACAACGAAATTGCATTCAAAACAGTATCATCATTGCTATCTCCAAATGACTCATGCTTCCCAGTTAACACATGTCCCAAACAAGTGTCAATCAAAAATAACCCTGACTCCAACCGAACAGATTTATTAGTAAATAAAGCGCCCACAATATCCGCTCCCAAAAGCAGATCAATCTCACGATCAGAAGAACCCAAATCAGACAAACTGACGCCTCTATCTTTCAGTTCATTAATAATTTTACTATCGTTCACTTTTGGCACTGTGCCACAAATTTTGCTCTCGGAAAGTGCTTCGATTTGAAAGGAGAAAGTTTCATCTAATGCCGAAATCAACAAATTATAAACATCGTGAATCTGCGTTCGCGTTTCTCTTCCACCGAATAACGAATGCTTCAATTTAATTTGCCTTAATGGTTTTAAATTTAAATTCTCTACTAATTTTTTACTGACAATACGAATGCTGAGAACCTGTATCCAGTAATGTGCGTACTTTAAGCTCAACATTCTTAAATTTAATTTTAACTATTAGAGTCATTAAATAAACATTTTCTATTTTACAGTTATTAGTTAATGTACTGGTTTCAGTTACGTCCCTTTTAGACTTTTCATTTGCTCTTTTTTCTTGGCGATTGGGACACATTAAAGAATGGTGATTTTTATTACAGTACATGCAAGAATTTTTTACTCGACATGTTTTAAAAGTGTGTCCAAATCTGAAACATCCAAAACAGGCCCCTCTTTTAATTAATATATTTTTCTTAGCTTCTAATGTCATATTTCTAGCAGAAAAACATTCTTTAGTTGGGTGCCGTTTTTCACAAAAGAGACAGTTAAAATTGCGCTTACCTGGGCTCTCAGAATTTGATGTACTTACTAACGCAGCTGCGGTGGCGAAATCTAAATTTTTATTTAGTGTATCCTTTTTCTTAGAAATATGATTAGAACCAAACCCAGTGCGGGCTAACACGACCATCTCTTCTCCTTTCACTTCTTGTTTCAGAAAATTCATCAAATTTTCAAGGCATCGGTCATCAGGCTGAGGTGCTTCTTTTAAATTTCTGTTTCTCTCCCAAGCAATTAATACTTCTTCGGGCAGGCAGGATTCAACTAAAGGCGTTAAGAAATCACCATACTTCTCTTGCGTTCTTCCAAGACTTTCTAAAGCTCTAATCTTGGTTTCTAAATCATCGTAGAGAGTGGGAAGATCCGTCTTCACACGTCCACTGCTTGCATTACGCATAACCATGCTTAGAAGATCTCTGACGTATATCTGTACAAGTAAGTCTTCTCTTCCAAACCTCTCTCGAAGCTGGGCGATTGCTTTCGGATAATTCGACGCCGTTGCCGGAAAGCTCTCCACTACCCGTGCGGCTTTGGACTGAGGAACAACTGCTTGCAGGAGGTACTGGAATTTATCTTCATCTGGAATCGTCGGATCTTCATGGATCTTCGAAAACTGGCTCCAAAACGTCAAAAATTCTTTTGCTTCGCCGTTGAATTTCTTTAGTTCGATCTTCGGCAGTTTAAATTTGCGCTTCTCTGGTAATTCAGTAGGTAAAGGATTCTTCGACAGCTTTTCGATTTGAGAACACAGTTCAAAATATTTATCTCTATAAGGCTCAGACGAAATAAAATCTTCTTCATATAGCTTTTCAGCTTCTTTAGATTGTAGAATTAGCGACGTTACTTCCTTTTGGCAAATTTCAAGTCGATTAAACTTGTCTCTAAGCTGTTGTTCCAGAATCGAAAGTAGCTTCAAATCAGGAATATCTGATTTCAGTT